TCTGGATCCACATATTAGTTATCACTCATAATGTCCTTTTCCTTAATGCCTGGATCCCTCAAGATTCCAGTGATATCTTTGAAGGGAAAATGGTTGAGTTTCAGGGAGGGAAATAGTGGTCCTGAACACTACCAGAGAATGTGCCACTATGAAGGTCAGGGCACTTGACTATACCAGACTTGAAAACCAGTGTGTATAATCAAGGCAAAAGGAGGAGCTACCCCTGTAAGATGCTCAGAAGTGGCTGCTGCATGCTGGGTTGTTGGCTTATACTTCACACTACTGAAGTTGCCAGACTTGGTGTTATTTATTGCCATGCTTTTCTCTGCTATATAATAACACTCTTTCTACCACTGCATATATATTATTAATACAAGTATTATCATTAATAAGATTATTATATACTATAATATTATTTTAAAATTTTTGAGTTCCATGTATAACATCTGTTTACGTTGTAAATGTGAAAATGAGTAAAATAAGAATTAATAACATGCAATTCCATATACTTAAAAAAAAACAACCAGAACTAGCCAGTAACTGGTGGCTCACAGCTATAATCCTAGCTACTCAGAAGGCTGAGATCTAAGGATTGCAGTTTGAAGAAAGCCTGGGCAGGAAAGTCCATGAGACTCTTACCTCAAATAAACTACTTAAAAAATCCAGAAGTGGTGCTGTGGCTCAAGTCATAGAGCAAGCACTCACTTTGAGCTAAAGAAGCTCAAGGACAGTGCTCAAGCCCAGAGTTCAAGCCCCAGGACTGGCAAAACACACACACACACACACACACACACACACACACACACACACAACCTAAACCCTTTTTGGCACAGTACTAATATTTTGACAACAAATTATTATTTTTTCTTTACTAGTAATGGTAAACTATAATATAACCTTGGTTTTAAGTATCAGCAATATTTTTTTTACTTACTTGCCAAGTATCAGTGGCCTGTAATCCTAACTGCTCAAAAGGCTGAGACCTGGAGAATCAAGATTTAGAGTCAGCCTGGGCATAAAAATCCATAAGACATCATCTCCCAGTAAAACACTATGATCGAGGTATGATTCAAGTAGTAGATCACCAACTAGGACAGGGCAAGGTCCTGAGTTCAAGACCTGGTACCATCAAAAGGTAAAATAAGATAAACTTTTGAAGTCTGAAAAAGTTAAAATGTAAAAAAGTTAAAGAATAGAAAATTTTCATTCTTCCTATCAATGAGAACACTTTTACCAAGATTTAATTTTTCTTTGCTACCCACTTACTACCAAAGTGAGAAGAGAATAGCCCTATCAACAGTAGGAGAAACAGTTAAGGATATGGTTTATAGAAGCATTTCTCCAGACTATCCTAGGGAATGTCAAATACACTTGGTGTATAATGTGAGTACATCTTTATTATTTTTCTAGTTGAAAGCCAAATACTTAGGATCAAAAAAATCCTAACAATAATGTAAGCATCAGAAAAACCTCAAAAGCCAGAATTGTTTTTACACTATCTGGAATGAACTGGCCCATCATCATGATAACCAAAAAGTATTGTGCAGAAGGCTGACAGTATTTTTGTTAAATTTGAAAGACTTTAAAGGTTATTCAATATGACTGTCTTGTTTTTTAACTTAAAGATAGGAGGCCCATGGCTATAATCTCAGCTTCTTAGAGGGAAGAGTCAGCAGTATCACAAGTTGTAGGTCAGTTTAGCAACATAGCAAACTGTCTCAAAATAAGAGCAAGAGAGAGTCACAGAGAAACTGAGAGAAACAAAAATAAATTGAGAAGGGGGAAGCAGAGATTTTTAAATTTTTTGACATAACATCTAAGAAAAATACCATTATTTTCAGATTTAAAACAAACACTTTGTCTTATTTCTTAGTAATATTACTGTTTGCTGGCTATCTTGTTTGTTCTTCAAACACAGCTGTTATGCAAGCTCATATTTAATAAAGATTGGGTAAGGTGGAGCTTAAATGAGTGTGTGTGTGTGTGTGTGTGTGTGTGTGTGTGTGTGTGTGTGTGTGTATCACAGTCCTAGGGCTTAAACTCAGAGCCTGGGCACTGTCCCTGAGCTTTTTTGCTCAGGGCTACAGCTCTGCAACTTAAGCCAAAGCTCCATGTGCATCTTTTTGGTGGTTAATTGTAGGTAAGAGTCTCACAGACTTTCTGCTTGGGATGGCTTCACACTTGATCCTCAGATCTCAACTTCCAGAGTAGTTAGGTTTACAGGCAAGAACCACCAATTCCCAGCTAGAATTTAATATCTTTAAATATCCAGAGAAAACAAGTCTACATAATTACTATGAGAAAACCTGTATTTAACATTTGTACCTTAAAGCTGGGTACCAGTGGCTCATGCCTGTATTCCTAGCTACTCAGGAGGCTGAGATCTGAGGATCCTAGTTCAAAGCCAGCCCAGGCAGGAAAGTCTGTGAGACTCTATCTCCAGTAAAACCACTAGAAAACCAGAAGTGGTGCTGTGGCTCAAGCGGTAGAGCACTTGCCTTAGAGCGCAGAGATAGCACCCAAATCCAGAGTTCAAGCCCCACGACCAACAAAAAACAAAACAAAAAAAAAAAACATTTCTACCTTCAAGCAAAGCATTACTTACCTTTGCACTTCAGATTTATGTGGGTTATTTGATTAACATTTTTCAGTGACAACATAAGTTGCACTCACTTTGAAGGAGCTATTGCTGAGGTTTGTACACAGCCTTCAGGTCAATATTGTGAGCCAGTAATTAAATCCTTCAGACAACTTACCATGAGCCTTCCCACTTAGCAGGAAAAGTATTCTGGTTCCTAATATTCCAATAATTAAAAAGATTGCATATACTTGAAAACAGATAATAAAAGAACAAATAAGTGTGTCTATAGTAGCCACAATTAATAAGGTGAATATATTTGGGTATTTCCCCCATATTCTAAGTGTTTGAGATTTTACTCTAAGAAAAGCAACACAGCACATTTGTAGTATGAAAAGATACTAAGGTTCTTCTTTTGAGGCACATGATTTTTTGTGCATATTTTCTGTTGTTTGGTCTTCTTTCTTCTTTCTTTCTTTCCTTCCTTCCTTCTCTGTCCTTCTCCTTCCTTCCTTCCTTCCTTCCTTCCTTTCTTCCTTCCTTCCTTCCTTCCTTCCTT